CACACACACACACACACACACACACACACACACACACACACACACACACACACACACACACATGCACAAATCTGACAACCTTTACTTCTGTCTTTATTGGTCTAATTGTCATACCGATATTGAGAGGAGGAGGATGCCAAACCTGAAGGGGGAAGAACACCTTTTACCAGAATACTGCTTTGATGAAGCTGCTTGTGTAAATCTTAGATTTATGGCAGATATGCATCAGAACAGTTTCAGGTTGATTTGATGTTATGGTGGCATGAAAACAAACACAAAGTGGGAAAGTTCCCACTAGTTTTGTGGTTCCATGAAGCTCCAAAGTGTCAAAAATACCCCCAAAAGTAAATTTTGTTGTGGTCTGTGCTACTTTCATCATGCATTTTTCTTGCCCAGCATAGTGTCTTTAGTTTTAAAGCACCTCACTTGACACAACTGTTAAAAAAAAACAGGTTATAGGGTATTTTCCCCAAACACAGGTGCTGGCTAAGTTCTTTGAAGGGATGCCAAAGACTGAAGAAAGCCCATAGTTTGATCTTTGGATTTCATCATATTTTGAGAGACATGGTGCTTCAATGTGTCTAATTAAACATTTTTTTTAGTGATTCACAGTCTCAAAGATGATATTCAGTGAAATGTGAGGTGATAAGCACAGGTGAGTGAGGACATGGGGGGAACTATCCATAAAGTTGGGTGAAAAATGACACTTAAGGAATCTTCATCAGGGACATCTCTGTTCCCACGGTATAAGGAAGGCTTGCTTGTGTAGTGTTCAAAATACAGTCGTCAAGATGCAGAAAAAAGAACCAGTCGGGTCACTCTCTGAAATGTGGAAAATGTGACTGAGACACCGCTCTATTGTGCTACATGAATGGCATTCTTGGAGATGGGTGGGTAGAGGAATTTCACCAGCATCCCTCAGAAAATGACTAAATGCTCCTCCAGTCTGCTGGGGGGCTGAGTCCTGTGGCCTTGAGCGCTTTATTTTTTCTTTACATGTTTTTTTTTCTCTCTCCGCCATAGTTCTGGCTTTTTCAAAAGTTTATTGCATATTTATTTAAAACTGACACAACAGGAAGAGGAAGAGGAGAAAATCCTGCCTTTAAACTGTCTCTCTGTTGCCACCTTGTGGCGACAAAGAGAAAGTTTTTTTAGGTAAACCTCCAAAAAGTGCTGAAAGTAAAAACTAGATCTTTACAAAACTTTTTATTGCCTGGAAGATTTTTCTTTAATACGTAAAGGGGAATAAAAACAGTAAACACTAGCATGGAGAGTTTCTGTTTTTGTGCACTTTCCAAATGTTTATTCAGGGAAGCCAGGGGAATTTCACGTCAATCATTTTGCTACCAGGGAGAATCGTTTATCACATGCTTTTCAAAAATACTGAGACAAACATTTACTGTAAGACCTGATGTTTCCTTGTAATGGGCAGAAAGGTTTGTTATGTGGTTCCAGTTTCAAAATTACATGAAAATGTTAAGCGGTGAATTAAACAATTGTGTCCATTGGATTTATAAAACCAGCACCTAAATGATTCTGTCCAGTTCATGAAATGCTAAAAAGATTAAATAAATTTCCGCAAATATTGGGAAGCATTAATAGATACACTTCTGGTATAAATATCACCATAAATTAAACTATTTTTGAAGCTGTGAGGGCTTCAGACCGGAACAAGGCTTCACATTATTTATGCGTGCCAGCACATTTTATGACTGTGTACACAGTGTCGCTTTGATGTATATATTTATGGGAAATTATGTTGAGATTTGTGAATCCTCTGTGGCTCCGTATTATATCCATAGAGGCGTATAACCTGAATGAAACTGTCTTCTTTTCTAATTAACTCTCCATTTCAAAAGAATCACAACGTGTTTTATATAAAAAAAACGATAATCTTTCCATACCTTAAATAAGGCACTCCACAAGTAAAATAATCTTTATCTTAGCTGATATGTTGCTGCCTCACTCAGGATACTTGAGTAGATGTTAGGTCATGTTGAATAATGACTTCTTTTACATTTACTTCTCATAACAGACTTTTCAGTGATTTTTTTCTGCTAAAGGATGTACACAGAGACTCTTCTCCTTTGCATTTAGAGAATATGAGCAGCTCCCATGGCTGATGCTTCCAGGTCAAGCCTTCTCCACTCCAGATGTTTCTTAACTGGGTTAAAAAAAACACATCTGGAGCAGAGAAGGCTTTTAGACAGAACTTACTGAAGCATTTTCAGTGTGCCTCTCAACTCTGACCACTAGATGGCCCCATTTACCCCTTAATTGACTCCTTTCAGATTCAATTGAAATGGAAATGAGCATGTCCCATTTCTCTCTGCCCCCCCCCACCACCGCCCCCACCCCCTCCTGCAGATGACACCCCGACAGCCCCCTCCTCTGTGGCACAGCCAAAATAACAAAATGCTGACTTCTCAGGGTGCTGTTAGTGTGCCCGGCTGTGCTCGACAGCCGTGAAGTTTGACACACAACAGAGGGGAGGGGGAGCAGGGAGGGGGGGGGAGTAAAAAAAAAAAAAGAAAAAGGAGAGAAACTTCTTGGTTTGGCTGGGGCTCCTGTCCTGTGGAAGGGCTTCAGCACTGCGCTCCTGTGAAGGTAGGTGTGAGGGTGCTTGCCTTTGGTCTGCTGCCTGTTGCCTTGTGTGCGTTTTCAGGGCACCATGGGTCAACGTGGTCTCTTCTCTTTGGCCAAACATACTATAGGACATAGTCGAATGAATGGTGGGCTTGCTTCCGAAGAGGGTTTGTTTGCAGCTGAGGTGAGTTGTGTGCGTCTGGCGTTGAGGGAGGCGGTTTGTGTAGCCGTTTGTGTGTTTTTGTAGAGCTGAAATCTGCCGTACTGTTGTCCAGATGAACCAGTCAGTGCGGTATGTGGAGGGCCGAGGCCGTCCAATAGCTGCCCATCACTCTGTTGTTAATTTGTCAGTGAGGATTTGGAAGATTTGTCCCTGGAATTTGTAGACTTTGGGAAGCACGGTGGCGGGTTAAGTTTGTCCTCTGCTCTGACACCTGTAGATCTGTCCCAGGATCAGATTTGTATTCGTTTATGTGTGTGCACGTTTGAAAAAGCTTTAAATCGTCTTTTTTTCATTTTTAATTTGAGTTAAGCCGGGTTTTTCTCGGAGGACTCGAAATGGTGCTCTGACACAGTCTCAAGTAGCAACCCAAGCTGGGGAGGATTCACACGGTTCAAAGTAGCTGACTTGTGAAGCTAAAATTAAGCTGAGGGCTGATTTGGAATGTTACACTTGGTCGGTAAGACGTGGAGAAGATGACCCCTTGGATGATGGGAAATCTTCCGATGCGTTCGCAGCAGAATGAGAACTTAGATTGGCTGAAGAAGAAAAAAACAACTCTCCTATGCTGCCACAGTTACGGAAAAAAACAGATTTATAAGGAGAACGTAAGTGCAGTGAAACTGAGAAAGGTGACTTTAAAGTTTATTAGTGGCCCAATAAAGACACCTGGCAGGACACAGAAGCGGTGCGTAAATCATGGAGAGGCATTTATGAGTGGATAACCTTTGTCAGCATGAAACCTGAAGCCACTGTAATGGCATTTTGCTCATAAAACACAAAGTACATCCTCACTGCTGCTTGACTCAGTACTACAGGGGAGGCAAAGTTATTGGAGCCCCTTCCCATTAATGACATTTGGAAACTTCTCAAAGAAGGATCACCAATGAGTTTTAAAATCAGACTAAAGTGGAAGCCAAGAACTCTGGATTTGTCCGACTCGCTGACATCTGGAGTTCAAAAGAAGGTCTGTAATGGCTTGAAAATGCCATTTAGACCAATTAACCACTGCCAAAGAGATTGTGGAGCAAAAATAATCATTGATTTGTACCTCATCTTTAACATTTCTCACTTAAAATGCCATTTGAATCCATGTTTGAATTTTTTTTTTAGACATTTTCAAAGAACCACCCCCCAAAAAGCCCAAAATGGGCCCATCTGAACAGAGTCACAACCTGATGTGTGCGTCTTACCATAGCAGGCTTGAAGGCTGTGGTCGTGTTTCCCCCCTTATAAAAAAAGCAGGAGCAGGAGATGGTTGAGATTTTTGACTGGAACACAGTCCGCAGCCAGCTGGCAGAAGCAGGTGTCATGGCCAACGTTTTTCTGTGTGGGGAGCCCACAGCCACTGCTGGGGACGCATGAGCGCCCGACACACCGCCGCTTTCCAACCTGCGAACACTTTAACACTGCAAAGTGAAATATGCTGCTCCTCCGAACCAGCAGACCCGTCGGAATATCCTGCATAAGTAACACGATATGCCTTTAAGTTCCTAAACTGGCAGCCGCACAGTTAATTCAATAATAACCTGGACAGCATGGCAGAAAACCCCAAGCCTTATTTGAACAGAGTGCAGAGTTTGTGTAATAAGGAAAAGTAAAAAAAAAGGAGCTGGAACGTAGTGTCTTATATCTGTGACAAAAGAGTGTGCCTATTTGTGTGAATCAAAGGGAAAAAATGTTTGGATTTTGTGCCAAATTGTTTTCCAAATGTTGTGTTTTCATTACTAAAAATGATGTTGAGTCCGACATTCAATAATAATTCATCATAAGACGATTATTATGTAACATAGAAAGCTGAAATGTGTCTTCCTACACAGTTTTTTGTCATCGAACCTGCATTATATCAGCACAATAACAGATTCGTTGTATAAACCTTGTGGTTTACGTCATTCTTTGTCTGCCCTCTTTTGATGGTTAATTTCCAGCTTTTCATCTGTTCTGTTTGGCCTCCCACTTTGAGCTCTGTTGTTTTTGAAAGCGTGTAACTCACATCAGCCCTTTTGTTTTAAGTTGAAGTTGAATTTTAGGAATTCAGCTGACCTCAGGCCATCAGACTGAAGCGTGCATATAGAATAAAAGTTGAGCGCATGAAGTGTTCAAAGCAACAATCATTCATTCACAGCATGGTTGGACATCCTAACTGTGGAAACACAATGACAGTCACATTCCCTAGCTTATGATAAAAGTTAGTCAAAGCCTTTTCCTTTGCTATGCCCCTCCTGGTCTGTAGAGCTGCAACAACCTTCCTCTCATCCTTCAAATCTCCTCCCTCTCCCTTGACACCCGGGCGTGATCCGGAGTTTGTGTCGTTGGCTTTACGCATTAGAGCCGCACGGCAGCCATGCACTGCAGGCCCTCACCAGCACAGTATTTTTTTATAGCAGTAATTCTTTAAGTAAGGACTTTCTGAGTCCCCTCCAGGCTTTGCATTTCTTGGTCAGATCCTGCACGTTTGTCACGTTTGTTTGATGATCTACTCAAGAGCCCCAGAACCAGAGTCTGAAATATAATATTTTGGTTAAAATATCCACAACAGGCTTTATTAAATCTGAAATAATGGCTGACATGCTGATGGTGAGGTGTAAATGTAAGCGCAGACCATCATAAGGAGTGTGCTGTAGAAATGTGCTGACATTAGCACTCTCACAGATCCTGGGACCTTAACTCAGAAATTGAGTAGATTATTTCTTATCAGGCTTAAGTCAAAAGGACACATACACACACATGTATGAGTGTTGATCCTCTTTAAGTGTGATTCAATCAATCACACCAAATGATGTGTTGATTGAGTCAGTTTATAGATAACATTCCTCCAGCTTTTTTGGGGGGTTATTTGATTATTGTCTAAAGGTCTGAGAGACTGTCCAGGAAAGCGGAACTCGATCTCTTGGCTGCGGGTTGTCAGAACTGTGTAGGTCCTTGACGTTTTGTACAGGAACTCAATCCATTGACACCAAAAACAGAGACACACAGAACACCGTTCAGCATGGCGTATCCTGTGTTCTTACAAAGTTTCCCTCTTTTAGAAAGAAAAACAACATGGATTCAGTTGTCAGATGAATATTGTGAGCAGATCAATATCCAGGTTAGGATAAGGGCTTTCCCAGAGAGCACAGAAGTGACCCCCTGGACCTGAGTCCAGCAGGAGGCAACTTAAAAATTGTGTACGCACTTCTCAACTGGAGCTGGGGAGGTTGAACAGTTCGGGCTGGAAAAATGAAGAAAAGAAATGTGTATGACCCTCCAAAATGAAAAATAAGATGGAATATTCAGTATTGTATTTTTATTTGTGGATGATAACACAAATTTGTTTAGTTTTTTGCATCTCATTTGGGCTAAGACACTAATGTTCAGTTAGAAAAGTTGCATCTTCATTTCATGATAAAACATTTCATAATGGTCCAAATTCATAAACTTATATCAATATTAATCATTTAAACTGAATATAAAAGGGCATACTGAGGCCAGAACTGTTTTTTTTCTTCCTATCCAAGTTGGGGACGAATCTGGATCAAATTTTAAAACCCTGGCCTTCAAATCTGATAGCTGATAGCACCCCGAGCTACACGTGTGCTATCACTGTGGTATTTCCTCGTTTTGAGGCCTTTCTCTGTGGTGTGAGCTCTTTGTTTCAGAGGAGGTTTGCAGAAACGTGTCAGTTAGCAGATACGCTTCGGGTGGGTCCCGTTACTGTATGAGCGGGTGTCGGTCCATGATAAATAAGGGATCGGTCTTTCCACTCTTCTCTGCATTCTGCTATTCTTAGTCGCAGTGTGGTGAGCGAGAGGGGTTTAACGTTACAAAGACCTTGCCCTCTCGATGTGTCTCCTTCTCTGGCTCACTTGGTCTCAGAGACTTGCAAGCAGCAGGTCTTCAGCATGTGATTCATCCCTTCTTCAACGATTTAAGATTAAAATGGAGATGACATAAGCATTACTTTATTCAACACGCTGGCATACAATGAGCTTAACGAATATCCTAAGGCTGTTTGCAGGGACAGTGGCTGAACCAATGCATGGTCCTTAGATGTAAAACAAGACATCATTTTGAAAACAAAAAACATTGTACTAAATCCGCCCTCTTACCTTTCTTCTCTTTCTTGCCAATGCCGTCTCGACCAGAGGTGTGCAGCAGTGTGGATGAGTGAGTGTGTGTGTATGTGAGTCAAAGCCATGTCGGACCCCCGGGACATCGACGAAGATGCCATCCTCAAGGGCCTCAGCGCCGAGGAGCTGGACCAGCTGGAGTATGAGCTGCAGGAGATGGACCCCGAGGTACCAAGCAGCGTTTAGTTAGTCTTAAGACCTGCTAAGAGGCCAGGATATATGGCAGTAACGTGTGCAACATTTAGGTCAATTACATATTTACAAATGAACTTCCAACATGAAAAGATCTAAATCTTAAGATCTAAGATCTAAATCTTAAGAGTAATTGCGGGCTATTAAACGTTCCTTAAGACAATTTTCTTAATTATTGGTGGAAATTTGTGGATGATCATCTTTAAATCAAGTTTAAGGAAGTTTATGGAAGCAAACAGCATCTTCTGCAGATACCGTGTAGAGGAGTGACTTTCGGTAGTTTTTTATTCAAGGTTTAAACCTTGAATCGGGTTCTTTCCCCAGTCCTAACGTCTTAACCGGTGCAGCATCTGACGCCGCGTTTCCCCCCCCAGAATGCCATGCTGCCAGCTGGCTTTCGGCAGCGAGACCAGACGAAGAAGACCCCGACGGGGCCGTACGACCGCGATGCCCTGATGCAGCACCTGGAGAAGACGGCCCTGGAGCAGGAGGACAAGGACGACCTGGTGCCCTTCACCGGCCAGAAGAAAGGTGGGCTCCGGGTCCGCTGTGGGCCCGGTTAGAGTCTGAGGCAGCACGGTGTCTCTAGCTCGGCTGAAACACACACAACGCTGAGTCATTGGCTCCTCAGCTGCTCTTTTTCAGCACAGTTTTGCTCTCTGCCACTCTGGACTCTGGCTTTCAGGTCTGTGTGGGGTCATCTGCAGCTCACTGACTATCGAGGCCAATTCCAACTGCCTGACCGAGCAAAAGAATCCCTCTGAGAACTTTACTTAGTTGTACCTACTTACTGTACTATTTATCAAGCCCATGGGAGCCATTATGCAGGTGTAGACAACACAGTGTGCGCTCCATTTGAAAGCTGACTTCCTTGTTTTTTTGGAAAGATGATCCAAACACAAATTTTTATGGGTCCAGCTATTGCCTCTTTTAGATCGCCTTACGATACAAACTCTGTTTGCCTACCTCCATTCATGATTTTTTTTTTCTTAAATTCTCTCCAGGGAAGGCATTTGTGGCTAAAAAAGCATCAGACATCCCCGAGCATGAGCAGGTGATGCTGGAGCCGGAGCTGGAGGAGGCCCTGAAGAACGCCACCGATGCAGAAATGTGCGACATTGCAGGTAAGAAAAGCACCGGACTGACGTGATCTGGAGGGGTGGCAGCAGTCTAGCTATTTCAAGCAGCATTGCAAATACTAGCTAATGAAATCACCTCACCGATCACACATCTGATCTCTTGGTTAATTATTCGCTTCATTGTTCCAGGACTCCTACGCATGAATCATGAGTCCAAACATGACTGTGCAACTTTTCATTTCTTTACATAAGTTGTTCGTCTTTATTTGTACTTTCTCTTTACTGTACTTCATCATCGCTCAAAGAAAGATGAATGCTCAGTTACAGCTGGTAAATGTGGTCTATTTGGTGGAGATTAGACGTTAGGAGTGGCTCATTTTCATGGTTAACAACAGTCAAAGTGCTTCGTTGAGACGAAATAAACAAATAGAGAATATGGTTGAATTATCACAACAACATATCTAATTTTCATTTAACCTGTTCGGGAAACCCTTCAAAACCAAACCAAAGCAGCAGATTCATGTGTGCATAAAATGTTTCCCCATTGTGTCTAGGGCTAACTTTTCAAAAATATTTACATACAAATAACAATAAGTGGCTGTCCAAATGACATCAGAACATCATACAAGCAGAAAAATGGCCTCAAGACAAATAATCTGTTTGTTTGATTTTATTCAAAGGACCGGCCTGAGACCTTTTCAGTAAATAATGGCTCCACCTGAGGCCTAAACATTACAACTCCACCCTGATTCAGCTAAATAAAATCTGGAATGTGGTTCTCCGACGTGCCTAAAAGAATAAGGGTCAATTTTCCATTGACGCCGACCATTTGTCTCCACGCAATTTCCCACAAGCAGGTGCTAATTAACCCACAGTAACGTGCCCGGCATGGAGTGACCTCAGTGTTTTCCCCGCAGCGGCTCTGACCCACATAGTTCTATCATACAGGCCCATTGTCTCTCGACCCACTGGCTTTCATATTGTTTCTCTCAACACCGAGACGGCGCAGTAGTCCCAGGCTAACAGACACAGCCAGACATGCATCGGGGTCCAATTCCCCATGCTCAGCAACAGAAAAAATAAATAGGCCTGGCCCCCGGCCACCACAGGAAGGGTGGAGGGGCGTGGGGACGGCGGGGTCACAGATACTGTATCTGTTTAAAACATTCGAACGAGAAGCTTCTGGATTTACAGATAAAACTGAATTGTCCTTTATTTCTTTGGCAAACAATGTTGAAGATGACGCTTTTGATCAACAATGGGATGCAGACTGTCAGTCAGAAATGTCTAATTTATCAAAGATGGCAACAAACAAACTGTTATTTTATTAGAGGTCCACAGACAATATTAAATCTGATGCAACATTTTACTTTTAAGACAAAATGAGTTAGTCAAATGTTTGCTTTATCATGTGTGAACCTCTGAATAAGCACTTCTCCGCTCACTGGACGAGCAGGCAGACTTGGAAAAGGCAGAGCAGGGGGGCATGTTTGTCCAGCTCCGTCAGTCTGCGGGGAGCTACCGCCGCTTTGATTTTGGACGGCGTCCAGATGAGGATTAAGACTCAGTTAGCCTCCGTCAGTCTTTGGTTGGGTTTTCTTTGACAAGCAGAATAAAAGAGGACAAAGAGACTGGCCTAAAGGGAGTGTCCAGCAAGCTGATTTGGGTCATTTCATATTTGATATTTATCCAAAACTGTTTTACAGGAAGTTGCAATTGAGCTTTTTGGTTCTGCTGTCTTGTTTGAGCTGTAAACTACCCAGAGTTATTCTCGGGGCTAAACTGGATGATGTGCAGGTGTTAATGAGCAGTGACACCCACATCCCTGCTCCCATTGCAGACAGCTGTCCTCCCCGGCCTCTCTCTCCTCATGAGGCCCTTCCCATGGTTCAGCACGCTGGGTCAGGGGGCTGGTGGGTGGGAAGGTGGGTGGAGGAAAGGTGGCTGCTGTCACAGCTATTGGCTTTTGACCAGCAAGGAGAAAACGAGCAAGTTTGCCTCCTAATGGTCACAAACAGCAACTACAATATAAAAATATTCATACATTTTTGGTTACATTTTTCTGTCATTAAATCTTCACTTAATCCACAGTAACGGAATAATAGTGATTAAATATTTTTTCTGTGGCAGATTTTGTGTATTTTTTTCCATTTCAGGGCAAATATGGTAATCTTTGTACCAAACATCAAGTCTGGAATATTTTAAGAAGCAATACTTTCAGACAAAATAAGCAAAGATACATGAGAATGAATTCAGCTCATTCAAAACAAATGAGCTTGTAGATCTTTTGCTTCTTTGATCTATTTAAGTTAGCAGGTTTGTGCTAGTGTGTGAAATTACTATATCCAACAAGCTGGGGTTGTTTTTCTTGACAAAACCAATGATTTCTCACTCAACTTAATTCCTGTTTTCAGTTATATGATTTCTTTATACTTTACTTTAAACTAAGTGCAGCATCAACATCATTAATGTCTTTTTTATCCTCCACATTTCGCAGGGTTGATAAATGAAACCAATAAATAGCCCCATTTTATAAAACAGTCCCAAAACCAAACAGCTGAGGAAGCATGGATGGGATAACTCGGCAGAACAAATAGAGCCAAAACCTGGAAACCTAAAGAAATAAAACTGATTGATTTGTTTGGTTGAAAAAAACCCCACTGATGGATTCATGTATAAGGTGGTTTACAGCTTGCAAGATGCAGAAAACAACCATTCTGTGTGTTTTTACATCTGTCCTAAGACACTGAAGATGCCTATAAATCCATGGACTCTTGGAAAGCTTCCTTGTGTTTAAACACTGACTCCCTCACAACAAGAACGACACTTGGAAAGTTACAGTCCCACCCACTCTAAAAATGAGCATAGTATTGCCACTTGCCTGAGAGTCCCTGGAGACTGAGAACACAGCCAGTGGCTTAATTCTTAGCCGAGGACAGAAAACACAGCTTTTCTCTTGACATAGGGATGTTTTTGTGTTGGATTCAGAGCTGAATCCAAGTCAGAAAAAAATTCTACTGCCAAACAAAACAGAAAAAAATGACATAGACGAGGACTATATTATAACACAGGCTTTGATCAAAACATCCCCAGAGAGTGGCCATCGTATTTATTAATTGTGACCCATTTTGGATTCTTACAGCTATCCTCGGGATGTACACGCTGATGAGCAACAAACAGTACTACGATGCTTTGGGCACCACCGGCACCATCGCCAACACAGAGGGCATCAACAGTACGTGTGACTCCGGAAACATCCCGTGACCTGTCACGGATATTCACAGGCAGAAAAAAAAAGAAAGAAAAAAAAGTATCCCGGGCCTCTCTGTTGTCTGAGCCGTGCCTCTGTGTCACACCCACAGGTGTTGTGAAACCCGATCCTTTCAAGGTCTTCCCTGAGGAACCCCCCAATCCCACCAATGTGGAGGAAACCCTGGAGAGGATCCACAACAACGACAGCGGCCTGACTGAGGTCAATCTCAACAACATCAAGGTACGGCCAGAGTACGGCAAATGTTTTTTTTTTAAAACCTTTGCCTTTTGCCATTTTGCCTTTGGCCTGTAAATCTGAGTTTGGGGAACCGTGCTTCACAGAAGTGATGTCCTTTTAATGAATCCCGCAGGACATTCCCATCCCAACTCTAAAGGAGATCTTCGAGGGGATGAAGGGAAACTCTCATGTGGAGTTCCTCAGCATCGCCGCGACCCGTAGCAACGACCCTGTGGCCTACGTGAGTACATCGGCCATTTTTAAACCAAATACAGCAGGAAATGTGCATTTTATGTGAATTCCTTTGAATAAAAAGCTTATAAATGGGTGATATATTTCACATCACATTACATGCTGCATTATCCAACACATACATATACTAATACTTGTAATACTATTGTGCTCCATAGTCACTTTTAAGAAAACCCTACTGACGGATAGGTTGCTCCACTTTGTCGCCAGGCATGCGCCGAGATGCTGCAGGAGAACACCAGCTTGCAGAGTCTTAACATCGAGTCCAACTTCATCACCTCGGACGGCATGATGGCCATCATCAAGGCCATGGCCAACAACGCCACGCTGGTGGAGCTGAAAATCGACAACCAGCGGCAGAAGCTGGGAGACTCGGTGGAGATGGAGATTGCCTCCATGCTGGAGAACAACTCCAGCATCCTCAAGTTCGGCTACCACTTCACCCAGCAGGGTCCCCGCGCCAGAGCCGCCATGGCCATCACGCGAAACAACGACATGAGTAAGAAAAGAACGATCGAGAAAAAGAAAAAAAAGATGTTTGAGTCTTAGTGCTTTCGGTCAGTTAGCGAAAGAACAGCTGAGAATGATAATCGTACACAAACGTTACAATGCGGTTTCTCTCTTCTATAGTTCGCCAGCAGAGATTGAGATGAAAATGATGACAAGCGAGAAAAAGAACGGCCATTTCAGCCAAACCCGATGCCTGCAAAGACTGCCTGTGACGGCTTCCTCTCGTCAATGGATGCACCGGAGCTGAACAGATCCCCCCAAATGAATCGGGGGTCATTTCGCCGGGTGTAAACCACGTCTAACATCCATGTTCATCCATTTTATCTAATTCATTGCTGACGCGCTTCGTGTAGTCTGCTGAACCCATCATAAAGTCATGTATAGGAAACAAGAAAAATGTGAAGTGTCATTTTTTTGTGATTTTTTTTTTTTTTTTTTTAGTTTGCTCATCACCTACATCAAAAAATATTCTTCATGAAACCTTTTTCAATGTGGTGCTAAATTATATGTGGGAAGGGGATAAAAAAATACATCTGTAAATACTTTCAATAAACTTATACATTCAAATATTCTTTCTAAATGTTTGGAAAGCTCAGTTTTATTGCTTTTACACCCTGACGCACATTAAAATAATGTTCTGACAAAACACTGTACTCAGCTGAATAATACGGGTTCAACCAGCATCACACGGCGTGCTAATTTGTGTCATAACCACCAATTTTGTCCATGAAGGACCTGTTTTACTCATATCTTCTTCATATTTCATGGAAAACATTACATGGAGGTATTACGTCACAATACAAGCGCATTATACGGGTGAGTGTAAAGAATCACTGTGTTTAATCCTTTAAAGTCTGTCCTGATCCACTGACTTCCCCCAAGCACCTAAGCTATTTATACACATCACCCCTCCCTTGCTGTAATGTAAAACATGACTTCGGCCACTGGGCTTATGTTACCTTGTTCCAAATATAAGAACTAACTTTGAGATGGCTGTGTCCTCACAGCTTTATGAACAGAAACAGCTGCTAACCTCTGAGGATTTTGACAGCATTGCTTGGGTTCCTTCCAGCACTCATTTCTACACCGTATTACATCATTTCCAGAAAAAAAAGGTTTCTCTCTGAGGCATGGGTGTGTCATTCTTAGTTATTTCAGAGTTCAATTCTTTCTCAGCTGTTTGGGTGTCTCCGACATGCAGCGTTGTGAAAAGGCTGAAATTCGTTGCAAATTGTTCCAAGAGTTCTGGGATCGTTTGCAGGAAAAAGCAGGTGTATTTTTGGACGTCAGCACCCACAGTCCCATGACTGCTGTGACCGGTGGGTACACATAAAAGTAAAGGTCATCCACGCTAAATAACGTGCATTTCTTATTTTCTCTAAGAGAGAACATGTTCTCCTCTTAGCAGCAGGCTCTTTGTGCACCGTCTAGCTTCCTCCCACTGACTAAAAAAAGTCCATGTGATGTTAACGGGCAATTCTACACTGACCTTAATGGTGAGTTTGCACGTTTGTCTGGTTTGTTGACCTGCGGATGAGAGGCGGCAACTATTCCCTGCTGCCCTTTGACCCCTGCGAGGACAAAACGTGTATGAAGAGCAAACGAATGGCTGTAACGCATTGAATACAAAATGCATGACTTGTGTTTGGAACATTTTCTTTTCAACATGTAACTTATGCTTTGGCTCCAAAACACCACACTGCTTTACAGGAAAGAACACCACTCCTACCAGATTTCCTTATACAGCAAAGGGTGGTTATGTAATATAAAACATACAGGATAAGCGTTCGCTCAGCTGAATATGAAACTGTCAGCAGTCACATGACGACAGTGTGTGTAGCCCCTGTAGGTCAGCTGTGTTGGCAGGAAGTTACCACAGCTCGGCAGTGGTGGTTAGACTCAAATGGGTCTAATTTAATTACAACATATGCAATTCTTCATCAAAAGACAATTTTAATGTGCATAATTTAACAGAATCTAAACTTTACATGGCTTGGCCTGATATTTAGAAAAAACACAACTAAGAAGTTGTGTGAACATAAAGATCCATCAGTCTTTCCATGTGATGAACTCATTCTTTCCAGCTGTAGAGTAGTTTTGTTCTGTGACCAGACATTAGTCAAGAAATGTGTTGTTTCCTCACCAATTCTTTCCAAATGACCAGATTGTGCGTTTGTGCAATTGTGTTCCAGCTGTTCTGTCAGTCTGGAGGTCCCATCGAGTCTTAGAAAAAAAAAGATTCTCTGTCACAGTCAGCTTGCATCACATGGCCGTGATCATTGCTGGCATCCGTATCAAAGCTGAGGCACGTCTGATAGAAAAAAACGGGCTTACAGTTGTGAAAGCAAATCTGCTCACAGACGGAGAGGATGGAGAGTGAAAAAAAGGCAAGGAAAATAATGCCATCCAATGACAAGTTAACCACCCGTTTCACACAGGGTGTTCTGGCTCAACGGCCCGCTCTGGTACCAGACCTTCTCCTTTCTCACACAGCAGCCAGTGAAGGAGGATCCTCTTCATCTGAATCAAACTCCACATTTGTGTCTTTCACCCACTGGCCGCTTCGATCTTGCAACCATCCGTCACTAAGAGAGAAAAAACAAAATAATCAAAGCTGAAGCGAATGCACGGAAAAACCCTGTGGATGCTTGGTTTTAAATATCCTGAACGGGCGCCGTGACCCTTTATCTGAAGGCCCACGCACCTCTTCAGTTTGAGGTAGTGCTCCAGCTCCTTCCTCCGCTGGGCTGTTACGGGCTCAGACGCCTCTCCCGCTGCAGCCGGAGGGCCTGTTGTGTTGTCCGGTGAATCTTAAAACACCACAGGAAACGCACAAAGCTGATAGTTTAAACACAATCCATCTGGAGCTTTTACCGACACAGAATCAGAGAAACCTGCCGTCGAACACTACCTGCATTACTGTCAGCGGAGCGGCTTGTGGAAACTTCGGCTTTCTGACAGTCAGGTGACGGTTTGTTCCCAGCAGGAGCAGGACCGGAGCTCGGCTGCCCGTTTTCAGATTTTGTACTTCAAAAGAGTCACAGAGCTTTGGTAACTAAGCTGTCCACGATAAGGCGTAGACAACAGACAGGAAGTTGCCCCCCGGAGTAAGCGAACACCTGTTTTTTCTGTGACAGCTGTTGTACGGCACCGTCTTCAGCAGAGCGTGATGGGTGAGCTTCCGTGTTTGTTCCAGCAAAGGCGCCGAGCTGGAGGGCTCCTGAAATGACAACGGAGAGCTCTGTGTGCACTTGTGCTACTGTGAGTTCACTCAGACATGAACTCCAGTCAATGATCCACTTTTTCTGCATCCACTGCTTGGTGTTTTCCAGCCGCAGACAACAGCTTTAAATTGCTCCGCGGGGTGTAATTTGTCAGGGTCATGTGGCTGTCACAGGGACGGCACGTAATGCATTTCACAAGACAACAACATGGATTAAAAATGTCAGTCACAGGGAGACAGTTTGTTCAGCTTGTGTTGTTTTTTCCGGGATGATTCATTTTCCCCTCAGTCTGCTGAAGGGTCGGGGTGGAGCTTTCCTACACGGTTTCTGCACATTTTACAGACAACATCCATCAATTTATTTGTCCTCACTTATGTCATTATGCTGCTGCCACAGCACTTTGGATAACACAGTCTGGAAATGGCTCTAAAGAATCATAGAAAAGTGAACTGACATCTTTAACACAATTACTGTATATCTGCATTATCATAAGTGTCCCCTATATATCTGACTGCTGGAACAGGCGTCATTCAGATCAGTGACTGAGTGCGATAGCATGAACCTTTTATATATAATCAACAGTTTGACATAGAGAGAAGAAATATTGAACATCCCATCAGATTCCTCACAGAAACAGACATGCTTTCCATATAATTCTTCAGAAAATAATCCAATAAGATATTACATAACAAAAAGTGAAAATTTCATAGTTTTATACAGCCTGCATGACTGCACTTATATCTGTCTAAACCTTATACTAAAACAGAAAGAAATCTACTAATCACTATACCTTTTTACCAATATAATTTCAGGTTTTTAGGGTCTCTTATGTTTCTTTTAGCCACTTGATTTTGTTTCCAAGTTAACTATGCAGACTTTGTGCATCAGGAGAGGGAGAGTGGTACAGAACAAGAACAAGTTACCAACCTGTTGTCTGTCTTCAGTCTGGATGTAGTTTTCATGTTTCCTTTTTGCTATTTCATTCTTAAGTTTAGTTTTTTTGCCATAGTATCCTTTCAATCCTGAATAAAACAAACAATATGAGAACAAGACATATATAACAAAATTGTTTAATACTTTGAACAACCTTGGCCATACTATTGTAAATTATAGCAGGCATTTTTTAGACCCAAGATAGGATAAGATATGTCACCTTTTTTAAATGACTTCCGATTAAAAAAAAAAAAAAAAACTGTTGTATTACAATTTGATCATTTTGATTGGATTCAATTATTTGATTAGATTTGCTAACTCAATTTACAGTTTATTTCTGTTTTTCTACAAGTTGTATCAACTACGTAATAAGCATTGTTTTTTTCCTCATTCTAATTCATGCATATGTATCTTTTCTTAGTGTCTTTGGTTTAAATAACATTAAAGTGGCTTTAAGACAAAAATACACTTCCATCACTTAATTTTTCATACAAGCAGATACCAAGATGCATATATATGGCTTACTAAAATAAACAAACTATAGCACAAAACGCTGTGTTTTTGTTCAAAACATCTCACCTGCTAGATGCTTCTTCCCTTTTCTGTGGACAGTCAACATATCGACGGTATCAAACACTGGACGGTAGGAGCAAACAAGGCAGGTGTACCTGAACACCACACAGTTACAGTCAGTCACATCATATGCACTGTCAACAATATTAACATTTCCAAAAGGATTTTTATATTAAGGTATTTTCACCTTCCATTTTTCAGAAGAGCAGCCTCATCTTCTGGAATAAAATTAGATAAAAGGTCTGCCACACGCCTTTTCTGAAACAAAGTTACAGTGGATATTTCCAGTGTGTTGACATCGTCAATGGAAGATTACAACTTGTTTTTAGCTAACACGGTGCTAACCATCGTATAATCACAGTTAGTGTATCTTTTTTAAGAAAAACAAAGCAACACATTATACACTATTACCTTCAGAATATTGAGCTGACTTTTGTCATCCCCTTCCCTTTTAAAGGACATAATGCAGATTATAATCTCAAAGATACGTAAGGACTAGCTGTTTCAGGAGCACGTCAAGCTAACTCAATAGCAATGTTGCATTCATGAACAACTCGCATGTTCGGAAAAACAAAAATCATTGTTAGATTAACATTTATTTATCCTAGTTTAAAGTAAAAAATGTTCCTTTTCACTTATAAATGTGACCAAAGTGAAACCGAGTGTGAATTTTTTGGTGATAGTTTTTTTCTCTTTTGTACATATTTTAAAAATCTATCTATGAGTATGCTCAGTTGCAAATTCCACTGAGTATTTGTATATTGTTTTTTAATTTTTATGGCACGTAGAATATCAGTTCGAATTCATAACCTACACAAAATGTTGGCATTCAGTCTCTAGGTTGCAAAAAATAGTTGTTTTTCGAATTACCATACACAAATTTAGAATGTTGGCGATTTCTTCCAACGAATTTAAACACAGCATGTGTGACGAATCATAAGACCAGTTACTGAGCGCGGCAGCCATGGCAACACACCGCAGCTGACTGCCGTAGACGTGACATATTCAAAGTTAAATAAATCTTAAAAACTTTTTATTTGTTTTGGTTGACTTTTACGGTAGGTTCAGCTTGAGGTTGACAAGAGATTTTATTTTAGGCTGCTGCGGTGGCACAACCGCTGTCTTCACTGGGACGAAGAGCAGGTGGGGAGGAAAGAAAGAACGAGCGTCAACATGGATTAAGTGGATAAATCAGCCAACGGCCCAACGCGACGCCTGGTTTGATATTTGAACATATTCACAGGCCGAAATAAATACGTTCAACTTAATATGTTACTGACGTTAACGTTTGCTGGTAGTTCAAATCTACTACCATTCGGGCGGCTATCAAGCTAAGTGTTAGGAGAGTATGTCCGGAAAGAGAGCCTCTTTGCCATCCGGGGGAGGCGGCCTCCTCCGGGGAAACAGAACCAGGTCTTACGGCAGTTTGATCCGATCTCCGCTCTCTCCAGTTCGCCAGAGACGGATTGAACACACAATTCAGCCGGGAGAGACCCTGCAAGGTTTGGCCCTGAAATATGGAGTGTCTGTAAGTAGAGAATTGAGTTTTAAATGATTCTCTTTAAAAAATGAATGAAACCAAAATTGTTGTGTGATGTTTAAAGTTGTTGTCATAATGCCACTCTATAGTGTTTTTATTGTTGTCTGTCAGTTTCACAAATGTAAATATCCTCTTTTCTTAGTGTTTTTCACAATCACCAGGCTTGGCTTTGTTTCTAATAAATAAACACAGATTTTCCACAGAACACATATAAGCAAAACCCAAGCTTCCTGGCTTTATAAACAAAATAAATACATTTAATGTTAAAAAAAACATACAAATTACGACTGAACTGCAAAAAACTGGGTTTTACAAAAGGTTAGCTTCATCTATGCCATTTAAAAAAATAAAATGAATCATGCTTAATAGAAGGAATTATAGATTGTTGGATGGAAATGATTTCCTGTGATTAATAAGTAATTCAAATTGGACAAAGAGTAAAGAAAACGAAAGAAAAAAGGCATATTGTTTCATTAGGCATGTGTTGCCTAATGAACAGGGAGATGGCAGTCATTATCAGTCAATCAAAGGAGGAAGGATGGTGGAACATCTGACCACAGAGACTTTCCCTCAAGGAAAGCGTTTCATCTTAATGGCACGACCAGCAAACAGTCCAGACCTCAGTTTCATTGACAATTTATGGTGGACGTGGGCAGAAGGGTCCATGGTGTCAAGCTGCCACGTGAGGAAGAATGTCAGTGACATCCTCAAAGAATTCAAGATGACAACAGTGTTTTTGTTGTTCCACAATTTTTCTTCAGAACTGTGTAATTCCATTTTTTTTATCTACTTAACATTTTAATTTTAAGATACACGACTGTTAAATAAAGTAATTCCTGTCATACCTCTCTAAAAAATAAAAAATGTCAAAATAAACAAGTTTGCTTAGGCATGTTTGTGTGGACTTCTCCTGTTGCTGTACGAAATTAGTAAAATTAGTAGTTTAGTGTAATTAAGTTTAAAATAAATGAATATGCAGCCTCTGTGACCCACAGGACAGCTAATTATACTGTTTATTCAGTTCTCTCAGTAGGCTTAGGAAAGGCATGCTGCCTAAATATCAGGATATGAAAGCGCTGTCTAATCTCCTCAAATCAGATTGTATCACTCATAGTCTTATAACGAAGTGGGACTGTCAAGCATAAAGCTGTTCTTTTTGTTTTTGTTTTTTTACAATACAATATCTTTTCAGATGGAGGAAATCAAAAGAGCAAACAGGCTGTACACCAATGACTCGATATTCCTGAAGAAATCCCTGTCCATCCCTGTGCTGTCAGGCCTGGATGGCGGGAGCAGGGCGGAGGGTTTGTCTGAGGAGGACGGCGAAGAAGCCGCTGCCGACGGTGCTTCTGTTCAAAATGGCCGCACAAGGAGCCCGTCTGAGAGAAAGCAAGAGGATGGAAGCGACCGAGTGTCAGACCTCACTCCTGTGGATTTTTTGAAGAGGCTGGATGACTTGATAAGCCAGTCCAAACAGGCTGCTGTGAAAGGATGCCAGGACTCCGAGAAAAGGTAAATCTGTTTATTAGGCTTTATTAGGCACTTATTACCATGAAAGTGAATTTATTATTATTATGGCTGTTTAGGGCATTCCAGGTTTTATACTTATTTTCAGTCACCCTTAAATCTCAGTTTTATACCACCCATATTTATGCAAATTTCCCAGGTCCATATAAAACGTTGAATGTACCTTCAAAATGCTGCATGTTCCTGTTTACCACATTTAAATCTTTTCACAGCTACGCAGGGCTTTACAGCTGACTGTTTGTGTGACCCTGCATGGGTGAAAGTTTTCTGGAAAAAAGTGGAACTTTTGACTTGGAATTGCAGTGGGATTTCTACCCAGATTCATGCTGTTTTAGATGAGGAGACACAGCAAGAGGCCCTATATGCCACTGCTTCTTTTATATTAGCTTTGTGTGTCAGGGCCCTGAGATGCGAGAGGTCACTGAAGGTTTTCACTGAGTCTGAGATGTGAGTTATACAGTATGCGGTGGTCTTCAATCAACAAATCTGAACTCAGGTAAACATGAAAGGTTCTGTGCAAACAAATCAGGCAACACAAAATGGGTGTTTTCTCTCTTTTATAGATTTCCAGTAACTGATGTGTCATTGAAAGTTCTTGAATCTCTACAGCAACTCCAGCTTTTCTTTTTATTTGACCTTTTATTAAGAGTCTCAGAGACTAAACTGAGCTACATACATCCACCACCACAGTCTCCTCTCTTTCTAACATTTTCCTTATTTAAGTTTTGGTGTAGCTGTTTATAGGACCCTGATTTTGGCTGAGCTTTTAGCGCTGCTAGCATTCTCACAGCGGTGCGCAGACTTTGGGCATATATCTGAATGGAATTGATGATGAAAACAGCCCGACCCACTGTATCTTCTCATCTGTTTCTCTTTGCCTTGGCAGGGTCTCGGCCCTGGAGGCTGCATGCTCCAGCGGGGCATCGGACCGGCGGCCGCTCACAAGGTCCCAGAGTGTTATTTCATCCTCCAGAATTCAGCTGCAGGCGGTGCATGGGGCCGTACCCCTCACTGTCACCAAACTTACCAGGAAGCTCAGAGACAAGGAAGACGAGATTTTTGAACTGTGACATCTTTTATCCTTTGAGTTTGACCATTAGATATACTTTTAAATAGCGCTATGTTGAAGGGCTATTTCCAGGACAGGAAAGCATTACAGATCAAGCAAAATAACCCAGGTAACCATGCTGCTGCTTTATGAAACCTCGGAATTCTTTTAGATTATCATGACATCTTGTATTTCCTATTCATGGAGACATATAGTAGGTTATGAAAAGCCTCTCATAGCTTTAAATGTGTTATGTTTGTGCTCATATCCAGTTATTAAGCACATGAAATGTTACACATGAGAATTTAGGCACTTGGCTCTTCAGTCAAATGACAGTTTAACAAGTGGCTTGTGCGTAGTACTTATTTTCACTCCAGTAATGACAACACAAAACTGCTCATGCATCCCTTTTCTTTATTTCTGCTGAAAAATTGACACTGTTATTAAGCCAAGTAAAAAAAAGATTCCATTTTCTTTAAAGAAAAAAATGTGTTTTTTAAAATTATTTTTTAGTGGTTTGTTTAAAATATTATGCGAGGTTTGTATAGTTTTAAAATAAAACACAATTTTTGATCATGTGTTTAGGAACTTTTGTTCTTGCTGCTTTTCCACACCCACCCAAGGCAACTGACACATTCAAATTTAGCTGTTACAGATGGTGAAATGCATCATTTAAACTTTCCCCTCACCTGTTCCCGGTTCTTGCAGTGAAAAGCCAGAATGATAGCATATGTTTATGCCTCAGTTTATGACTTTGATCGAGTTATCAGTTTAAATGAAAGCTGGGATTAACATTCAAGCCTTTGCTGTCTGTCATCTGTCAGGAGAGGGTCTTTGTTTTCATGTACCTTGATAATTTTTTGATTGGCCTAATAGTTGGCCTAATAACCCACCGTATGTGATTATTTTCTTTCTTAATGGAAGTGTATTCGTGTTAACGCCTCAGTAAAACCTGCATGCTGTATCTTCTACTGCCCACCAGATGGCAGGGCTGTATAGTAGTGGAGTTCCCCCCCCCTTTTTTTCTGTTCATTAACACTTCCCAAAAATGCATGTTATCAGTAGTCCTGTGTAAAACATTTAACATTTCCAATAATATACATTGAGCAACATTTGCCATTCTTGTAAAACTGATAAAATATACACTTTTTTTGGTTCAATTTGGGTTCTATAAAAAAAAAAAAATGTCTGAACAGACCAGCATACATCACACCTATTGAGTAGCCTTTACATAAACGCTGCACCTATGCACATTGAGAAATCTGAGAAATGACCCTGCCAACGTTATTCTCGCCCCACGGGGCTCTCTGTAAAATTGTGGGGCAGCAGATTTGCTCTCGTTTGATTTGTCTTACATGGCCGGTCCTCATCAGTGGCGAGACGAGCTTTGTCCAGCAGTCCAGTGTGGGGTGAGTCTCCCTGTTGATCTCCCAGTGTTTGTTGCACTTCTTCTGCTTGGGTGTCATATTGTCCCGTCTTCCACCAGTTTGTTGAGTCCTTTACAGATCTTGGTGAGGTGGGGTCTGAACGGCCCGCTGGGGTCGTACAGCTGAGTCAGCAGCTGGGGGTCGGAGTAATGGTTGAAGACGTGGTTGATGCGACCGTGCGATTTCGGGGTGAGGTGCGTGTTGACCAGCTTCAACAGCAGATCCCTGCAGCTGGACAAGATGTCCGCCATCACTGTCTTGTCGAAGGTAAAGTCCACCTGTGATGGCCAGGAGGTAAATTTATGTTAGAACGGTTAAATAACAAGTGCAAACCAATGCTGTGGCTGTTTCACAGGCCAGTCACATTCTTTAGCACCAAGAAATTGGTGCTAATTTCACCCAGAAATGAGGTCAATGCAGTAAATACACTAACAAACACTGTCTAAAGAGTATTTGATCAGAAAGCTTTTGTTTGGTTTTAGTCTTTAATAATTAAACATGTGAATATAAATGAACAGATTTATCAACAGCTAGTCTGAGCCACGTGAACGCTGCAGTTTGGAATAATAATATTTATTCATTTTCTGTTGAGATAAGGAGTTGCAGCCCCAAAGAACACTCTGTGCACAGAAATGTTTCAGACTGGCTTGCCTTTTATAGCTGTGCTTGAGGGGCAAAGTTCTCGTACCTAACGCCTGTACTTCTAACGCGGAGACATACATTTATCTATTAATACCTCAGTGTACCTCATAAAAGCTGATTGCTGTCATGGCCCCTTGATGGAATTTTTTCTTAAAGTCTTGGGCCACTCCCAGTTCCTCTTTGCTGAAACGGTTGTTTCGGAACAGCAGGCCAATCTTGACCGCAATCTTGATCAGATCCTTCACGACTTTCTGAGCCTCTGTTTTATTTCCCGTGTACTCTTTGGAGATTCGGTACAGTTCGTCCAGGATCTCGCTGGTGGTGTCGTCGATGAACATCTGCACCGAGCTTTTCGTGGCCATGGAGCTGAGGATCTTCTTCTGTGCCTTCAAGGCCATGTCCTTGGAGCTGAACGCATCCATGTTTGCCTGAATTATCGAGGGAAAATCAACAGTACATTTTGGATCAGTGAGAATCTTTATGATTATTAGGTTTGAGTATATACATCAACATCTTACTTCTCTGATCGAGAACATAGACAATTTAGAAAACTGACAATTAGGTATACAAGTTTAAAGAATAAATAAATCTGATTTTGGGAATATGAAACAAGTCTAAATTTGTTCCTTGTCCTTTTACTTTCGGCAAATTCAAAAGTCTCTTATCAACCAGGTAGGACTTGATAAAAGACAGGATCCTATTCAGCTAAAAATAAAAACCGAATGCTTCCTGTTGGAAACCAGCCTGAGGTTGAGAAAAACCCTTTACAGCTAGAAAGTGAGCAGCTAATATGGGGTAGATGCTAAATATTATTATGGAGGCTGAAGGGCAGCACATGTTAACCTTCGAAGCTGTCACGCTTGTTTCTGGCCATTCTTACACATCATCTAAGTCTATCTTAGTATCACTATGAATAACAACAGAGGCTTAAAAAAGCCCGGCCCGTCTAGCCTGTCGATTTAGTATCAGTAGATTACCTCTTAGAGTAAGATAATGTTAAATGTACACTGGACGTGTGGTTTATCCCAGTTTTGCATCGTTGCTGTTACAGTGTTTGTTTTTGTAACTGACATGCACACAAGTTGCCAAAAGGGAAAAGTACCATGGAGGAGAATCAACAAAGGCTTTTAATTTTCTCCTTTGGGATTTTAACCACACCTAGCATCCATCACAGAGAATCTGCTGGGAGGTCATCAGCATATAGAAAGCCCATTGGGAGGGAACTAGAAATATTAGCTTCTTATCTTCACTTGACCTCAAATTTGAATAAATTCCCTTTAAAGGATTTCCCCTACACGCCCAACATAGGAAACATGTTTTATTTACTTGATGTTGTTATCAGCAGAGCTTACAAAGACATGTCAGTTATATTCTTTATATGAAAACCAAACAGACATGTTCCAGCCACATCTCCAGTTTAAGAAATTCAACAGCTTAAGTTTAAATCCAAAAGCTAAGCTTCTACTTCACCTTAATCTGAGGTGTGTGTGATTAGTAAGGCAGAATCAACAGGGAAACTGTATCTTTAGCAAACATCTCTGCTGCTGAGCTTTCTGTGTACCTGTGCCCTCTTCCTGTGTCATGTTGTTTTGCTCTTACACATGTAAGTCGACACAAAGGCCTGAAATCTAGAAGACGGCCTCTGAACATCATCTTTGAGTTGCAATTTTCCCCTCCGAGTCACACATTTGGCCTGTGTGGACACGTATCTGAGGGCAGCATGTGCGGCGCATAGCTGAGGCACGTCCGTGCGTGTTTTTTTTGTTTTTTTCACATTGCATCAGTGCTGAGATGAGAAAGAAAGCGAGCTCTCTGCGCACAGTGGCAGCCTTAATTATTGTGGTCGGGTCTGTTTTTGAGCACTTAGTTTTCTGCAGCGTCCCATGCTTTGGCAGCACCTCGTAATCTGTGAGCTAAATTGCTTTCTCATGTTAATGTATTAACAGATGATGTTCCTGGGCCGGTGATGTCCAGTCAGCAGTGTGAGCAAATGACCGGACCATGCAATGATAGATGAAGTGAGAGCTACTCTTTATGATCGTGTCGTGCAGATGGGCTCTTCTTGATGAAAATCTGCTTGTCCCGGGAGCAAAATTTGTGGAGCTCATGCTATTGATGTTATGGGATACCTCAGTAGGCTTCTTTTTTTACTCGTATTACCATTCATTTTGAACAAGTGTCACTCTAATGGGTGGCTTTGTCACAAAAGCTACGGGCACCCATTGGGGAATTAAAGAACATTCATTAGATTAATTCCCCTTAACGGTGCAAATGGAAGCGGGGCAGTTTGAAAGCTATTTCAGATTCATACTTCAATCTCGGTTATTTGTTAAAAAATACTTTAGGGATTTTAGGGACGTGCACAGTGTGCATTCATCAGCTACTGCTCCACACAGTGAAACTCCCACGGCAGTAGATGGCTGGGTGCTTAGCTCTTTCTATTTATTTATTTATTTATTTATTTATTTATTTACAGCAGCTCTGTTTTGGGGGGAGGCAGAGACTGTTTACAGCATTGTGAAATATTTCTGTGCTACAGCCGTAGATTGCCACGAAAACATTTACTGTAATGGACATCATTTAGTCGCTCAGTGTTGTACGGCAATTTGCTGCTACAATTGAATGGAAGAGGGCCTTTGAGCATTTATGCATTTATCAGTTTGTTGTTGACATCCATCAGGGAGTGACTGCCTCCCGGAATTGATGAACGAATGTGTGTCTAAAGCTGCAGAAACAAAAACGACAAACTAAAGGGGGGAAAAAAAGCAGAAATAGACATACTCAGGCACAGAGAGGTCCTCGCTGTGTTTCAGAGTTACTGGGACAGCAAAGGAAGCCTTTAAAAGCTGGGTTAATAGACTCCGATAGGAAGGTTCTGATTGGAGGAGCCATCTCACCAGGCAGCGGAGGTAAATATTTAGCATTCTTCAAGTGTCTTCATCGTGGTGGTGGATGGGAGGTGGGGGGGTTGTGTTTGTCCGCATGTATGGACTTGTGTAAGGATGGAATTTTAGTTCAGATTTGTGTAAATAAGGAGAAAGTCCGCTCACAGGTTTGGTGACACGCCTTCTGATTGGGCTTTGTGCGTTCTTAGAGTGCAGCAGGACCTAGAGGTCCTCATCCTAGTTCATTGGGACTGTCGCTCAGGGCACTACACAAGCGGCCTCTTTAAGTTTCTCAGTTTGAAGGAAGAGAATATTCCAGGAACAGCCCACGGATCATCAGATCACACAGTCACTCACTCACAAAAAGAATAAGAACATCTTTGGACAGTGCTGGAACGATGTGGCTGTAAACACACTTTTCTTGCGGTCAGCCAGGGAAGATGAAGCAAAAACAATAATTATATCGCTTTTTTTTTTTTTTTTTTTAACAGTTACTCAGCAATCTTTTGTGAAAGATGTTTTAAGGGGATGAGACCTAACTTCCGCTGAGACGTGGGCCCTGTGATGTCGTGTTTAAACTCTTTCAGTACTTTGAATTCTTCACGGAAGAACTCAAATCGACTCATATGTAGTCTTGACAAAACGCTCACGGTCTTGACAAACGGGTCGTTTGAATGAAATTGTCAAACCGTTGCAGACGCGAAGCATTTTGAAATCCTGCAAAAGCAGCTTGTTGCATATTCCCTTCGCGGTGTTGCACAACTTTCACCGCCTCACATCTGCCTCAAAGGGGAAGCGAAACAGCCGTTTGCTGTCACACCAGAGACCCACAACGGGTGTTCTCCCCCATGCTTTCACCCCTGCTTGTATGTCTGGATGTTCCACTTTTATGGGCCTCCTCTTAAAGTGTCAGAAATCAAAGTTGGCCAGCGAAGAAGGGAAAGTGTGCACTGCGCTCCAGATTTGACCTGAGGCAGCTCCCAGCGTGTGCAAACAAAAATCTGAGCCTACATCTGTGCCTGTTGCGGCATGATCATGCACGTTAGTCTCTCTCTAGCTCGTGTTTCAGATGGGGAAGTGGACAGTAGTCACTCAGTTTTTTTTTTTTTAATCATCCCTCTGCTCAGTCATGTCTTTCCTGTGTGCCACCAATGAAACTCCTCCTTTGTCCAAGACTTAAAAGAGCAAAGGTTAAATAACGTTTGCGCTGCCCCGGATTGTTTTTTTCACGAGCACTGCACATGATACACAGACGTGTCTTACCTGAGTGTTTGCCGAGTCCCCCTCCTCCCTCGTGTGTCAGATGTTTCTCTCCCTCTGCTGTGTTCACCAGGTTGACAACACAAGCTGGTTACTTTTAACAAGATCTCCTCATTTCCACCGAGAACAGAAGCAGAGCCCACAGAAACAGCCCTCCCGCAGCGCTCCTGTCAGTGCTCACCACCCGGTCTGAAGATAATGTGGAGTTTTACTTCCTTGAGGAACTAAATTGCTATGACACACCCCTTGAGCGGGAGTGTTTGTCTCTCTTTCGCTCACTGCCCTATCTCTCGTTAGCCTTTGAAATTCAAATTCAAACTCTTCAGAAACCTGTATTTCTCTGGTCTTGGCCGCACTCAGGGCTCTCTTTGAATCTGCCTCTCCGCTGTTCTCGGTGCCGCTGACGCTGTGCCCCTGCTTTGCTCTGACAAATGAAAACTCCAGAAAGAATTTACCAATAATGCAGTGATGCAGCCAGCTGAAAGGGGAGCGGCTTAACCCTTTTTTTGTGTCCTCACCTTTTCTGGAATGTGGCTCCTGTCAGTGCCACCGAGCACCGCGTCCCTCGCTGTGTGTATTCTTTCCAAGGCCAAATCAAAACAACCAGTAAACGGGGAGTGTGTGTCTGACATATGGATATGCAGTCATATCTTAATGACCCGCTCTGCTTGAATACAGGAGTGCTTTTATTGTTAAAGCCAGTACATGTTAAAGCCAGAGTCCTAATATCACAAATTGGTCTTTAACGGTCTAATCTTTGAAACCTACAGGAAGTAATATGTTGCAAGAGTAAGTCAGTAATGTGATTACTCAGTCAGGGTTTTGCCAAAGTAAAGATGGCAATAGGTTCACCAAACACTGCACAATGCCATCAAAGATATAGGGAGTTTGCAAACATCTTTTCATAAGGCCGGACAGACTCCTGTGATCGTTGAGCCCAACATACACAATTCTAATCTTAATGTTTATTCCTGTTGAATTACACATTTTTGATCTTGCTGTTAACAACTATGTGTTCTTTTAGCCTTTCAGCTTGCCTGCAGGAGACAAACATAAATACACAAGGGTAATGGAGAGGAAAAACCCACACTAACCAGTACCGAGTCTGGTAAGTGTGTTCACTCTTAGCTGCTACAACAAACATGTCTGCGAAGTTTTAAAACTGCGAAACTAACAATTCATTTAGAATCAGGAAGTGCGTCCTGCTGGTAGATCCGTGTTTGTCTTAATCTGCTGTCAGAATGGCAGCCAGCTGTGTGCTCGACAACTGTCGGTTTTAGGCTCGG